TCCCAGAATACTAATGAAGCCCTTGGTCAATGGGAAAGGAAACTGAAGTGTTTTTCTCCCTCAGAAATCTGAGTTTGTGTGAGGGAAGATCAGTTAAAGAAAGAAATCATTCATATATTCAATATGGATATAATCAGTTATAGATATAAAATACCAGAAAAAGAAATTTCAAAGAGAAAATTAAATGATAAGAATGCTGAGCTTTTGGCAACACATGGATTCTATAGAAGGGGTGACCATCAGTTACGTAACAAACAGTAAACACACCAGTTTCCAATAGATAGTTCCACACCCCTAGTTAAAATCAGAGGGGCATAAAACAAAACAAATGCCATAAATATAGGGAAATAATCTCTAGGGAGGCAGAAGGGAAAAAGTGGAGGAGATGAAAGTGGGTAGTGGGTGAACGTAAAGATTTATGAAATTTTCAGAGATTAAATTTAATCAATAAGCAATATAGGCACAGATTTTCTTCCCAAATAGAACTTGAAGTGCAGAAAGAAATCAACTTATTTTCTACAAAATTTACCTAAAATAAAATAATGACATTTTTAAAATGAGGGATTTTGACTGACAAATGAGAAATAAATTTTCGAGCTAAGGAGAAATGTCATAACAGATATTAAAATCTCAACATAAATTTTCAAATGAAGAGTTGGTAATCTACCAAGAAGTATATGTAAATGTCAAAGGAAATAGATTTGGAAGGTTGGGAAAGCTTGTGAGCAATGATCCTATCTTAGTGGCTCCAGGCATAAGTCATGATACTAACAAAAGTAAGAAAAGGAAAGCATAATATTCTTCCAAACAAAAGACTACTGGATTCAAGTCTGTGGGGGCAATTAGCATATGAGATATAACTTTTCCAAGAACCAAAAACGTTACTATAAAAGTTCAGAAAATCTAACATATACAGAGAATCCTACCAGATTTCTTTGAGAAAAATGGGACACTCTATATAGCATGCCATTAATCAAAGTGGTATCAGATTTCCCAAGAACAGCAACAAAAGTCAGGCAATGAATAGAAGCGGCTTTAACATTCTAGGAAGATGTAAGCCTGCTATGCAAGAAAACCAGTCTATAACGAGTACCCAAACAGCTTTAGGATATGTTGCACGAGAACACTGACAACGTATCTAATACTGCTCAAGGATATATATATCAACAGGTATTTTTTCAAGCACACCCCTGAAGGAATATAATGTTGTTCATTAAGAAATTTAAATCAGTAAGAAACTTTTAGAAGTACATGCATATGTGGACAAAAAAATATTCCCAGATAGGAAATAAATTTGTTTTAGAACAGTTACCAACTATATAAGCAGTGAGGAAGAATAGGTCCTCAGTAGGTTTTTTCATCAGGAGGGAAAATGATACTTCAAAGATTTCAATTCCTAAATGATAAGAGTGGCAGGTAACAGATATTTTTCAAACCATTTATACTTCTAATATAAAATTTGTGTTTTTTTAAAACATTCCACCTCACACATGGTAAAAATAAATAAATAAAACATTATAATCAAGAATTATTTAACAGCAAGAAAAAAAACAGTCATTAAAATATGTAACTCCTTAAACCTTCAGTGGAGTGAATTAAGAAGTTTTGAAAATACCTCCAATCAACATGAAAAACTACACATTTAAGACAGCAAAAAATAACTAAGACAATGTGTACAATTCACATATTATTTCTCATATTTCTTCTGTCCATATGCATATGTCTGAATACTCCACAATTTCCCAACTACAATCTCCCAAGAAAACTGGCTTTGTGGAACATTAATAACTGTGTCTTAATTTTACTGCCAACAGTATTTTAAAGCACATTAGAAATAAAATGTTGTATTTTACCCATACCAAAGTGGAGCAATAGATATATTTTCACACACTCACTTATCTGTTCTGAGCATAACAGAACTTTCCCACTTACTAAGGGAAATAGAGGGGTAAAACATAAATATATACAATGAAGCCAATATTGGATAGGGAATAGTGTTTGGTGGTGATGCTTACCATGCCTTTACCTTCAGTAAAGACTGTCTGGACTTCTCTGAATCACAGTTACCAGCATTCTGATCATACAAAGGTCCCCATCTTTATGCTTCCTTTCATTTACACATTATACTATATTCTCTTCTCATTTCCAAGTTAAGTTAATCTACTCTAATAATTATTAAATAACTTCTAATTATATTACAAGTAATAATTAATAATAATCCCCCTTCATTATCCTCTTTACCAGAATCTATATCTCTATCATATCAATTAAAATAAATGCATTTTGTACTTCATTGCTGCAATGTGTTATGAGGCTTGTGAGCAAGACGGCTGTTTGAATCTGCAAAATGAATCATTCAGGAAAACACTAAAAATATAAAATATCACAAGGTAAAAGAATGTCACTGTATACTCAGACTGATAAGCAGCCAGATGCCAAAATAGGATTAGTGAAAACTTTTAAGGCAATAGAAAGTTGAAGAAAAGTGCCGGGGATCCAATCAGCAAGCACTTCCTGAGTTGAGTTTGAGTTCTGAAACATATCCTGATGTGGTACATGCCAACTTTAGAAAAGTAAAGACACTACTTAAAAATAGTCAGGTAAGATAACAAGGGAAGGAAAGAAGAGAAAAAAGGAGGGCCTGGGAATGAAGAAGAGTTGATACATTTAAAGCTGAACAGCAATTTGTTTTGTGATTTGAGGTTTGTCACTTTTTCATCTTTTTTTACTGGGTTGGAAGGATCAAGGGAACTTTATGGTGCTCATATTCATGCTTTGGATATATACTTCCAGAGAGCTATGTAGGAGGTTAAGTTTAGTGTTAATCAGATTTTTTGTTATCTCTTTGGCGACTATCCAAGAGAAATGACAAAAGAAGAAAGGGCTTCTTTGGCTCAAAGTTTCATTATTTTCAGCCCATTAAGGCCAGAAAAGCATGGGGGAAGAGGTGGCTAGAAGAAGAGAAGAGTGTCCGGGAATGCATGGCAGAGGAGTGACCAGGAGTGCATGGTACAGGGGTGGCCAGTGGTGCATGGCAAAGGAGTAGTCAGGAGGCATAGCAATACCCTCTGTGTTTCCTAGATTCTTATTTTCCCAACTTTTATTCCCTCTGGGCAGCTAGCCATAGGATCCTGCTACAGATGTTCAAGATGGGTTTCCCTCTCTTATCATCACTCTCAGTTCTGCCAAATGACCCACATTTTGTTTCTAGTACCCATATTTCAAGGTTCACAGCCACCTGCAACTCTAGTTCTATGATATCTGATGCTCTCTTCTGACTAATGAGCACCTGGAAAACATGGCATATTTACATACATTCAGACATATACACACTCACATTAAAGAATACATAAATCTTTTTTTCTAAAAAATGTACATATGAGATGAAAAACAATGAGTTTAACAAAAGAAACATATTAAACAGACTACAATGACAAGAACAAAGTCAAGCATGCTCATTACAAAAAGGAATTCAAAAGAATGAGCCATTTATGAAATGATAAAACAACAATTCCATTACAGCTTATATATGGATGGTGAGCAAATACTACAGGGCTATACAAACTTACACATTCCAATTTCAAAATAATTTCAGTGTAACAGAACTAAAAAGAAACTTTAAACTAAATCAATCATGATATGCATTCTATACCAAACAGACAACTAAAACAAAAGGGAAAAAATCAGTAAAAAACAGACAAAGATAAAATGAAATGGAGTGTTCTGTGATATTTTGATTGTGCTATGACAAATATAGCTTGCTTGGGGTCAGAAGGCAGAGCTAGCCATTAGCTGACCATTGAGGTTTGGAGGACTGTAGACAAAAAGGAGACCGGAAATGGTAAGGTGGGGCTAAAAGAAGATCTTGGCCTTTGGGACAGGGGAACAGAAGAGGTAGGAAGCAGCTGGCAGCTGTTTCTCCCTGTTCTCTGATCTTTCAGGTACTTAAACCGATATTTGATTTCTAATTTTTTATTGATAAAAATTAATTAGATTGATATTTCAGTTGAGTGTCTGGTTCCAGCCTTAAATTCTCCATAAAAGAATTGTTTAACTATGTGTTGACTCATGGTATAGACATGGTCTTCAATGACAATCTCAAAGTGTTTGTACTGAAGGTCACTGGAGTAGCCACAAGGAAGCACCCATGTCATCAGATAGGTTATTTTCTTCTCTACTCATTGTCTTTCCTATTTTGTTCAAAGTTACTGGATAGTTTTATAATTTACATGGTAAAGAATAATGGCCTCAGTGTTACACATGGACTTCATACTCCCTTCACTTCCTGCTCAGTACAAAACACAGAGTCACTGTTGTATAAGTACAGCTTTAGTTACATTTTTTCTGTCCCAGAACAGAACTTTGAAAAAAATACCAAAATAGAACACACATGCACACAGATATGGGAGTCCTAACTAAATTTTTTATTAAATTGGAAATGAGATAGCTAATTTTGGTCGACTATATCTGGAATCTACTAAAATCTAACCATGTGGAAACACCTGTGTGGTATTGTTTTTTTGATTGGTTAAAACAAAACAAAACAAAACAAACAAACAAACAAACAAACAAAAAAAACCCAAGTCTGGGACAGACTTTCTAGATTCAGGCCATACAACATGAAACACAGAAGGAAGCTTCCTTTACATGCTAACCTTGGGTAGTATCAAAGTCTATGTTAAAATCCCAACATAGACCAAAGACAAGCTGAGACATGCATTGTGGACTAAAAACCTACTAAAACCTTTATGTTGGTATACAGCTGTTTTAGCACTAGCCAGATCATAGCCAATAAGTCATTCTAATAAATACACATACATAATTTACTCTATCAGGTTTGTTTCTCTAGAGAAACATAAATGTCCAAAATTAATGTCCAATTATCCAATCAGTTTTTAAGTTTAAATATTACATAATTTCAAAACTCAAAATGACCACATATATTTATATATGCACTTTAAAATAATGATTTTTTGATAGATTTACAAACATAAACTTACAGGCAAACTGGAGTTTGGCTTCTCTGCTCACTATTGTTCCAAGTGAATTTGTAGCAAAACACTGGTAACTTCCTGTATCCCAGTTTCTGTTGGGGTTAATAACTATGAGATTGCCTCCATTCAATTTGTAACGATGGTCCAGACTTGTATCAATATCACTGCCATTCAGCTGCCATCTGAAAAGAAAATGTCAAGGTTACTTCCCTTCTTACCAGGCCTATGCCTAAATAAATGGCGTAATGCTTCAAACTCCACTTTAAACAACCAAAGACTGGAATCTCAACACCCATAAGGTTGAGACAGGAGGATTTTCACAGCCTTTAGGCCAGCATAACTACCTAGTAAGACCCCATCTCAAAAACAATGAAAAACAACAAATATGTATTTTTGAGAGGCAAAGAGTAAAGTTTAGTAGAAATTATAACATAACAGCACGTCAGTGTTAAAGGTGGTTGAAGGGTCTCTGAAGAACTGGGACTAATTTAGCCTGTTCACTAGCTCACTGGGGTAAAATATAGGCTGGGTCTACATGGGCAAAGAGGAAGCAAAAAGTTCAGGAATTATCTCAGAAACTGCAGGCCAATATCCTGCTGACAACCAAGTAGGGGGCAGCACATTTCTTTGATTTATCTGTCCTGACTGAGAACATTTAATAAATTAATTGCTAACTGTTCAAGTCTCCATTTCAATCTGTCTGAGTAAAGATCTGTCATGGGGCATTTGTTCTCCTCATTTCTGATGCCTCCAAAGAGCTATTTACACAACAGTGCTCTGCAATAAAAAGACCCTAACACCACTTGGGGGACTGAAAAATTGAAGAAATAAACCTCAGGGACATACCCATTAATGTGAAGCAAAAGATATCTTTTTTATATAAGAAAACTAAAAATTATTACCTTTAAATTTTAAACAAATTTCAAAGTTTTTGGCACACTGAAGTAAATTTCTCCATTATAAAGGCACCCATGTGCTATGATAAGGATACATCCATGCACCCACTTGCTAGACAACCAAATTTGATCACAGAAACACTTTAACTATACAGTCTACCATTTTACAATAATGGGCTCAATTGTTCAGCATAGGAATTTTGAGAAAATGGTTAAAATAATGCCTGCTTTTAAAAGGATAATAACAGTTGTTTGAATTGTCAACAATCCTACAACACCTAATAGTCTTTCTTAGGGGTGTCATTCATTTAAATTGTAGGTCATAGTTCCTCAATTACATTATAGAACATGAAGAAAATTTTTCCTAATTTACAATATATATAACTCCCTTACTAACAATTGTAACCCAAAATGGAAGGTAGGTAAATAGTGTAGCAATAAAGGCCCAGCAAAAGCAAGGTAGGATAACCGTTGAAGATTCTAGCACCTTGATTTCTGGATCATCCTAGAGGGGTCCTGTAATTGAGTGTGACAAAATGTATATTGAAAGGTAAGCAAGTGATGGGAGATGCCATTATGTATATATGTTTCTCATACTGGTTAATGAATAAAGTACTGTTGGCCAATAGGAAAGCAAGATAGGAGGGACTAGGAGACAAGGAGGAAAGAGGAAGTAGGGGGGGAGAAGTGAAGATGGAGAGTCTGGAGAGAATAGAATCGCCAGCTACCTCTCGCTGGTAAGACCACGTGGAAATTCATAGAAATGGGTTAATACTTAAGACAGAACTAGCCGATAAGAAACTAGTAACTGGCCAACAGAATTATATCATATACAGAGTCTCTGTGCATTATTTGGGGCTGGCACGGTGGCTGGACAAGACCAGCGGCTGGAGGAAAAAACCTAATCTTTACGAGCAAGTGCTGATTCCTGAGTCACAGACTGAGAAAGTGATTCAGGTAGAGTACTGGGAAACTTTGAATAAAAGTAGGATGACCTTGAGGACACACTCATGAGGGCATGGAGTGAACTTCATTGACTCTGTCTATCAGCAAACTAAATGTGGAGCTATAGCACCAGGAGCCAGGAGGGGTCTCTGAAATGCAGTCCAGGGTTTTTCCCAATAGGAAAGGGAGGGGGAGGGCTGAGCCTCTGAATCAAGACATCATTAACCCCAGATAGGGTTGGAAAATCAGGTTTCTTCTCTGGGTCAGGAGAAGGATAAACATCTGAGATGGGTAAGAACATAACTCCCTTAGATGTCCTGGGGGTCACATGCTACAGCACTGGGTAGACAATCCCTGAACAAAAGTGGCAAGAAACAGAGAGGATGATTCAACACACTGGTTTTATTTGGATTCAGGAGTACATTCATAAACCAGTGATTCTTTGGCTAAAATTTAGGTCCAAACATGGCTGGGTGTTGTTAATTTCTCACAGACTGAATTAATGATAGATTAAAAAAAAACACTGTGAATTTGGAGACAGAGTGTGCTCTTTGCTGGAGAAAGAGATCGGTGAAACAACAGTAACAAAATAAATGAGAGTCGGAGAGCCCAACTTCAAAATTGGGTCTCTATGATCACCTGCCTCTTCCTTGTCTCAGAGCAGGATTGCTAGTTCTAACTCCAGCTCCAATGAATACCTTTCTTTCCACTCCTCCTCCTAAAGGTGTCCCTCTTGTTCCCAAAACCCAGTGCCCTTTGCCCCTTAAAAGAAGAAATTGAATGATATAAGAAGGATACTCAATATGTTCCCTTCCCCAAAAAGGAAGCTCCTGATTTTATGTTTCCACTCAGGTTCTGTTAAGTGTCAGGATTTGCCAAGCTTAGGAGTAGGATTTGCCAGCCACATCCCCTTAACAATCCAGAGGTCTGAAGCTTAAAATGGAATTGAAGCCTCTGATAGAAAATCTATATGCATGACTGATAACTTAGGTCAAATCCTTGGTCGTCAACTCTATACCTAGTTTGAGTTAATGCCAATATGGAATATTTTGTTCTATATTTAAAAAGAAGATGCAGAAAAGAAGGACAACACTCTGTAAAAGAGAATATCCATCTAGACAGGGTACAAGGGCAATGGATGGAAATTTCCCCCACAAGTATCCTGTACAGATAATAATAGTGAGGCCCACCTTGGTCACATGAGAGATTTTCTTAAAAATTTATTCAGAAGACTACCCCAGTTTCAGAATGCGAATATAAACTTTAGCTTACAACAGGGAAACCTTCTACAAATTGCAGAGACACTAGAAAGTTTAAAGGATCAGTTCAGATATTATCCTAGCAACGAACAGCTGGCCAGACAGAACAAGAAAATTGCAGGAGATTGAGGCCTGCAAGCACAAATATGTGGAAGAGTTATTGAAGGGGTCCCAAAGGTCTATGTAAGAAGGGATGAAGGAAATAAAAACTAAGAGTCAAAGTTAATGTTGGCAGCGTAACCCATACTGTGGGAGTAGGTAGGAACCCAGACATTCAAAGCCTACGACATTATGTAGAGAACCCACAATGGGACCAAGAGAAAAGAGAGGATTCCAAAGAAGCATGAAAGAGCAATTGTTACAAATATGGGGAGAAGGGACACTTAATGATGGAATGGCTCCTTTCAAACAGATAACAGGAAATAGTGACTTTCAACGAGTAATCAAGGAGTAGATATTTTATTATCTAGAAGATTCCCACTAAAGTTCTTTGATATATTTAGAAGTAGGACCATTGAGTGTGTAAATAACCTTCCTTGTAAGTTGCAGGGAAAGTTTCTCCTCCATATCTTTTCCCCCTCACCAATATGATGGGAGATGTAATTCTGTGAATATGTTTCTCTTATTGGTTAATGAACAAAGTACTGATGGCCAATAGGAAAGCAAGGTAGGAGGGACTAGGAGACACGGAATTTTCAGGGAGAGGTAGGGAAATTTCAACATGTAGGACCAAGAGAGAAGAACTCCAGGCCTTCTCTCTGGTAAAATAAGACTACATGGAAATACTTAGATTGATAGAAATGAGTTAATATTTAAGACAGAGCTAGCCAATAAGAAATGCTAGTAACAGGCCAACAGCTTTATACTTAATACAGCGTTTCTGTGTGTTATTTGGGGCTGTTGTGACTGTGGGACCAGGCTAGCAGGAAAACTGCTCATAACACAGCTTCCAAAGAAGCAAAATTTTTTGGTAAAATACTTTGAATGGTTTTGTCATTTCTCTGCAATCCAAGATCCATTCCTAACAAAATCAGCCCTATCTTCATTAAGTGAACGTGAGAAACATCCAATGTCCCCAAACATGATTGTTTTACATGTACATGTTAAAAAAAGAACAAAAAAATATAAAAAAAAACACAAACCAAAAAAAGAAAAATAAAAAAAAAAAAAAAACAGAATTTGAAGTTCTCAACAAGTTTTCTAAGACAATTGTATACAAAGCTGCTAGGCACAGGCACTCCCTCCAAGGATAGATGTAACTGCCAAAACAGGAAGTGGCTCCTGTCATGGTCACATGGCTCTCTGCCCCTCTGCCTCTGTACATTCTTGCCAGTATATTCCCAGCAAGCACCTGCTAGCTACATTGTCTGCTCTCTTCCATGTTCCTGGTCATCTCCTCTCATGTGGAACGGACTGATTTGAAAATAAGGTTTTAACATGTGTGCCTGAGAATTTATCAGAAGAATGAAACACATGCTAAACTTGGCTCATGAAGCATCAATCTAATAATGAGCCAAGTAAGTGAGTTTAGTTCTTGTGATAAACATGGTTTGTCAACTATGAATCAACTAACTCAATGACTGAATAGAGAACATGTATCTAAACTGAAAATAGGACAGATACATATAATTTTATATACTTTGGAATCATAAACTATGTCAAAGGGTATTTGGGCTTGCTCTCTTTTTTCTCCCTCCCCTTCTTGTATGTGTGTGTGGATGGCATGTGGGATATGTATACACATATGGGTTAAATATTTACATCCATATATAGAAAGAAAAGAAGAACCCTGATTGGCCACTAAAAATGAAAAAATAAAGAAAAGGAAACAGTCTCTCCCCTCTCACTGGCTTGAAATTGCCAAGTGGGGTAGGTTAGTCAGCCAGGGAATCACTGGGAGCCAAGTGGCTCTACCTCCCCACAACAGGATTACAAGGCACTCCACCATGGCCAGGTTTTTACATGTGTTGGGGGACCTAACTCAGAGCTCTTTCTTGCAAGGCAAGCACATTTCTGGCTGGGCTATCTTACTAGCCAAATATGTGTTTTTATTATCTATGAAGTACAGTTTTTATAGGGGAA